CCTGCTCGTGCTTTGCCCTTTTCCGCTACCTTGGACATGTGTGCATTTTACGAGCAGTCTTTTGCGATCTCTACTCCGAGGTATGTGTACTGGTCCACTACTGCAATCTCCTCGATCCCCCACTTCTATCTATGTTCTACTGGTTCCTCCCTGTCCTCGTTGCATACCATCACGGCACTATTCTTAATGTTGGCAGACAATCTCCACTTATCAGAAAATTTGTTCGCCGCGTCAATTTGCAGTGGCAGTCCCTCAGGGGTGTCCGACATACCGACAAAATCATCCGCAAACAGCATTCCTGAAACCGACGTTTCCGTGTCCCCTANACCTTGGACATGTGTGCATTTTACGAGCAGTCTTTTGCGATCTCTACTCCGAGGTATGTGTACTGGTCCACTACTGCAATCTCCTCGATCCCCCACTTCTATCTATGTTCTACTGGTTCCTCCCTGTCCTCGTTGCATACCATCACGGCACTATTCTTAATGTTGGCAGACAATCTCCACTTATCAGAAAATTTGTTCGCCGCGTCAATTTGCAGTGGCAGTCCCTCAGGGGTGTCCGACATACCAACAAAATCATCCGCAAACCGCATTCCTGACACCGAGACACATTTACTCCCTTCCGGACTGCCTCTACGACTTCCAACAGATCTTTGATGAACACCTGGAACAATGTAGGGGACAGCGTACAACCTTGTGGGACCCCCTGTTCAATCTCGAAGAATTCAGACAGTTCTCCGGTTAGCATGACCGCGCTTTTCGTACACTCTGTCATCTTCGTCAGCACTTTCCACATTTTCCCCTTGATCCCGTATTTGGACAATTGTTTCCACAGCCCATTTCTCCATACGGTGTCGTATGCCCTTTTCACGTCCAGGAAGAAGCAGTACGTCGGCTTTCCCGCCCTCTTTCTACCTTGGATGATTCTCCCTACCGTGAATACGTGGTCTACGCACCCCCGGTGCTGTTGGAAACCTGCCTGACCCTCACTAATGCTATGTTCCTTCTCCAATACTACCACTATCCTATCGTTCAGCAGCTTACATAACACTTTTCCTANACCCCCGGTGCTGTTGGAAACCTGCCTGACCCTCACTAATGCTATGTTCCTTCTCCAATACTACCACTATCCTATCGTTCAGCAGCTTACAGAACACTTTTCCTACTGTGTTCAACAGTGTGATCCCCCTGTAGTTTCCTGAGTCAGTCTTGTCTCCTTTCTTACAAAAGTTCACAACCACTCATTCCCTCCATCTACTTGGCGCATACTCGTTTTTCTGCACCCAGTTGTACAGCAGCACCATCAGCTGGATCATCCCCTTCCCCTCAAAATTCATGAACTCGTTGACTATCCCATCCGCCCCTGCTGCTTTGTGGCACTGCAACTTGTTCACACACGCCTCAACCCCGTCCTCAGTGAACTCCTTTTCTGGTTCCACGTTCCCGACGTCCGTCTTCGATGTCTCTTCTTCCTTTTGGGCTCATGCGTCCACCTCCTTTATAGACACTTGGTCAAAAGCTTCATTCTCCGAAGGCAATCTAAGTCTCTTATAATGTCCTGCTAGAACTTCCCTTTTTCCCTTCCCATTTCACAGACATCCCCAGGCGTTCGCGGACGCGTTTTGGCTGAGGCGGGGACACGTACCAAAAATCCCCGGGATATAGGCAGAGGTATTCGCCAAGGCTGCTGCTGCTGCTTCTCTGTGTGTGAATGCCATCCGGGCTTGGAGACCCCCGAATGGTGGCGGACATCACCCGCGACCCCCCAGGCTCGTCTTCTGAAGCTGCGCAAGCATACCTCGCATGTCCTTCCGGAGTAGCTTTTAGCTATCAACAGCAGCAGTACAATCTGCAGGTGCACGCTTGCATACACCCTCTTGGATCATGCCTACATGTGCCTACACACAACCTCTTCGTCGCCGGAATGTAAGATGTACAGTGTCGAAGCAACAGAACACGAACGTCCGAAGGTCACAAACGCTCACCGAATGGGTCATATCTTGTCGGCGATTCATGAAAACTTGTCCCGATTCCCACCGCCCGGAAGGGGGGGGGGGTCTCACCTATCCGAAATGTTCGTTCGCGAACACCCTTGACTCCTACCAGGATTCCGCCATGGCAACTCAAAAAGGCCAATGTAGATACTGCAGAGATGCACACCTTGAGTTGGCTGCGCATATCGTTGATAACTCTTTGCGGGTTCGCTCCGGCTCGATCCAGCTTGTTGATGAATGCTACTCGAGGTACAGAATATCGCTTCATCTGGCGGTCGACGGTAAGAGATTGAGACTGGACCCCGGACACGCCGCACAGCACCAAGACGGCGCCATCGAGAACGCGGAGGGCTCGTTCAACCTATCGACGCATAGCAATAACGCGCCCAAGAAAGTTGGGGCATACGAAGATACGGGGGCGCCATGAGGAACATGAGCACAAGTGGGGATGCCTTTCGAGAAGCTCTAGCCGCCCACGACAACGACATGACATCGTCGCTATTCCTGATGCCCCACGTAGACAGCTTTTCACCGTTACCATGAGACTCATTTTCCACCAACCTTGCTTCTGCTGCTGGGAATGCCATACCTCGATTGTGAAATCAACGTGTCCTGGTGTGTCAATGATGTTGATGTGGTGGTTATCCCATTCACAAAATGTAGCCGCAGATTGGATGGTGATGCCCTTTTCTCTTTCGAGGTCCATCGAGTCCATCTTTGCTCCAACGCCATCCTTGAAAAATAAACGAGGAGGACAAAGGTGGGAACGTCACAATGTACAGAATTAACATTTTCGTGAGGAAAGGCGCGAAACAGGATATGTGAGAGGACGGCGCCGCTTGCTGGAAGCTCAAGGGGATGTAGCGTTGAGAGCGCCGACAATATTCACTGAGGAAAACCATGCTCCCAAACGCAAATTGTACCCAGGGTACGATACACAGCCCTCAAGCTCGGCGGCGGCGTGGGCGCAGTCAACAACTGGTAGTGATATGTTTTCTCGAAGGTCGCGTCACTCAGAGGAGTACCTTTCCCCGGACGTCGTGGATAGAGTTGATTCTCCCAGTGTAGTACAGGATACGCTCCGTAAGCGTAGTCTTGCCGCTATCAATATGGGCAGATATGCCAATGTTTCGCGTTTTTGCGATGTGCCCAGCCGGAGACGCACGGCCTTCCACCGTCTCCCATGGTTGAGCGGAGAGGGATCTGCGTCGCGGGAAGGGTGCGGCGAGCGATCCAAGTGAGAGGAAGGGAGAGAGAAAGACAGAGAGCGAACGTCGTGTTGTCGTCCTACGAGAAAGCGCGAAGTCACCGGCTTGCATGGGCTCTGGATAGTCTGCAAAATCTACCTTCAACCCTTCCAAAGCTTCGCAAAGTTGAGGCATACGCCTTTTTACTGTACTCTGCCTCGGAGAGTTTGCGGGCGCCAAGGTCACACCTGGCACCAGTTCACACGCGGACAGTGGGCTCGCGAGAACGAAATGAACCAACACACATTCCGGCCTATACCAGCTCTCGGATACAGCAGCTTTACACATGCACAAATTCACGTAGTGGTCTCAGACAATACTGTCCCTTGTCAGACAGACCGGATGCTGAGAGCACGTTCAGAATCGAGTTCACGACAAAATAAAAAACATCCTGTATTGAGCGGTGGAAAATGTACCTGTCCGGCCACTATTCCCACCTTTGAACAGAACCCTATGGTTCAAGTCGGTACAACAACGAATGAATAAGATCGTTTACATCCCGTGGGGGGCGAACCGGATCTACAGTTCGTAAAACGCGGTCTACTCGCACGCACAGCGTGTTACATGTGGAGCGTTTTCAGCCAGCTTCGACAAACCGCCGCTGACACTCAGGAAAAAAACACCCCAGAATCTCTTAGATCGGAGCCAACACAGCAGTAAGACTTGATTTGGGGTAAACTTCGACAAACCGCTGCTGACGTTCAGGAAAAAAAACACCTCAGAATCGCTTCGATCGGAGCCAACACAGCAGTAAGACTTGATTCCACGACTGAAACTTAACACGATTCCCGGCCCGTCCACCCTTGACATCCAGGACGGATTGTCTCGCGCAAACCGGAATAATTCAAGGAGAAACGTAACCATAGGGAAGGCATCATAGCCGGTTGCTCGAGGATCAGTAGAATGAACCAATAATCCATTGCGATGTAATCCTAGACTCCAGCCTATAGACACAGACCATCAAATCCAGCTTTGGGCGAAACGGAACCAAAATTGGTGAAACACCGTATATCCGCACGCACGGCGCGTGCCTGTGTGCGTGTGTGCCACCGCCCCAACATCAACACCATGCACCGTTGCACATCGCCGAAGAGAGAAAATCACACAAAACCAACGGGTGGTGACTGAGCGTCGCTGTTGAATATGACTGGCGTTGAAAAATTACAAGTGCTGGTGTGTGCGTGGTTCTCCCACATGTGGTTCAATTTCTTTTTCACAAAGTACCAGCTATCTACTCTGTCCAATGTGGCCCCACTAAGGCGACGCCAGCCCCCATATCGTCCCCTGTGTCCCAGGGGCTCTTGTGAGGTGCTTTTCTTCCAATCATACGTATGCATACTTCTTTTTTTCACAGGTCAAACTGTCTAAAAAAAATCCCGAGTCGTGCCCCCGCCGAATGCTGTACACTCTGTATTCCCCGTCTACCGCTTAGCCCTACTAGGAGGCACAAATCCCTGCATCCTTTTGGAGAAATCACACCAGCTTGAGCAACCCGTCCACTAAGATTGTGCCGCTTATCAGCATAGGCCTTGTTGAGCGAGATCGAGGTGCTTTATATTTGCGCAGGAAGGACTATCGTCCCGCAGAGATTTTGGTGAACAAACGCAGAAACGTGAGCTTCAACTGCCGACAGCTACAGCACGCCAGAAGCAACCACACTGTTCAGAAGTGCCACAGCCTACCGGTTTGGTGTGTAAGTGGCGTCGCATGACTTGACAGCAACAGCAGACAACCAGAAACAATTCCAGAGGTATACTTGTGAACTGCATGTAGTTGCATGCAGCAGCCCGAAGATTGACCAAACTGCCGGATATTCGGGGTACTTTGACGCGTCGCCCCCGTTCTCTGCGTGCGTATGCCCAGTGAACAAAAGGACTGCACGCGAATCAAGCTGGTGCACTGGGCGTTCTCCTGTGCCACAAAATAGTGGTTAGGTTTGGGGACTGATTGATTTTCGATCTACGCCCCAAAACGGTGTTTACAAGACACTTCGTCGTGAAGCTGCTTTTGTGCAAAGCCCTTACTCTACATCCAAGTTGTTTCGTTTTGTTTGCGAAAGTCCATTGCCTTGTATGCATACAACGCCTTTTTTGTTGTTTGGAACCTGGCGTCGCCTTAGAGTATCACTACCAACACCGTATGAATTTGGCTTGTGCGCACATCCGGGGAATCACATTCACATAGCAGGCCCGGTAACTGTCATACGGCAGTTTTTTTGGCTTGTGGCGCCGTGTACTCGACAGATGCTCACTCAGTGATTGGATGTAAGGTGTCTTTGTTCGGAACCCTCGTAGTAGTTGAAGCCCAAACGGGGACACTTTGGGGACACAGCACTCAAAAGCCTGTTCACCGCACCGTGGTCGTCCCTATGCTCCGCTGCGTGAAACATTCGTGGGAAACCTTGGTCTAGCATGCTTGTGTGATGTACGCTGTGTGCCTCTCCTGGGCCTCTGACTTGCTGTACACAATCTCCAAAGCCGCGGGTCCCCTTGTTGGTAACACTGTCCATCGCGTAGTGCTGGAAAAATTTGTTGACTTGGGTTCAGTATCGCAAGTGTCCCCGGTGCATTTGGTGACACTTTATATACTCAACCCAAGTCAACCTTCGGCCCTCTGGACTGTACAGCCTCCCCCAATGAGCGGACGCGATTTTCTCTGCATCATGCATGTAACAGTAGAAAATCGTCGCCGCCATTGCTGTAGCTAGCATTACCTCGTGACAGATTTACGGTCCACCATTATCTGTCGACGTCGGTGAGATCTGACGGCATCGAGATTCAAACTCCACCAGACCGCAACAGGCCCCATATGACCAAACAGAGAAATCTTCTCATGAAACCACTTGCTACATAGGGTCACCTAACGCATTGCACAGATTTTCTCCACGCTTCGGTGCGCTGCTGAAGAAGGCATGTCAAGCGAAAGCGTGCTCCAGAGGCCCGGAATGTAATGGCTATGCATGGGGCTGTATGTATCGTGATAGTAAATATAGCTTCATTTGAGTCTGGGCATCGACCGTTGCATACCTATGTACATGTACAGCAGTTCCACACAGGACGTATGCTACGCGTAGAGAGCCCACCACAGAAAGATCAACTGCCTGATCGATACCTGCAGTCAGTGCCCAACGTTGGTCTGCTTGGCTACATAACGTTGACCCCGCGGGTTGTCTCGGCGCGCACAAACTCTTATCACGTCGCATAGACTACAAGGGCAGCAAGCAGGACAGCATCAATAATAAAACTGGACAAACGCGAAAGTCACAATTCCTCCATGTAATACACCCTGGATAAAAACTTTCGTTACCACACACCTCCCATTCACCACTTTGTACGCACTCAGGAACTCACCTCCACATCGTCTGGCGATGTCTTGCAGCTGGCCGGCTCCCAGCCACGACTGCCTGTTGCACGCCTCGAACGTGGCGGCTGATGTGTAACATACTGCTCCTCAGCCTGCAACTGAAATCCTTCTTCTAGCTGTCACCGATGGGCGCAGCAGGTGTTCTACAAATGCAATGACAGAGGACCTGCTGTTTTACAGCACTGCAATGAGCTGTAGCTGCTGCGCAAATATCCTCGTGGGATAGCACGGCGTACAGGAAATGGTTCAATTTGTGGCTCAGCGACCAGGGTAGCGCAAAGCGGGTTGGCGGGGACGAATTATATTAATTTCGTTCGAAGCGCGAAACAAATACGAAGAGGCGTTGTTGAACAAAATACACTTACTCCTAGAATGTACCAGCATTGCCATCTATTGTTGTTGGATAGGAGTCTACGCCCTTTGAGTGTATGTTCGCCGCCAAGTCGAGATCGCACAGCAGCATCGAAAAAGTCACATCCATCCCACGTTTGGTTATCTCGAACAACAAGTGGTCCATACCTCATATTTTCTAAAAAAACACAAGACTTCGAGAACATCCTTCCGTGGATGTTTCAGAATATATATGGTCCGTGCACAACAATTTGTCCAATCACGTTTTGTGCGATAACTTTTTTTTGAAAAAAAATTGGAACGTGAAACAACGATGGTCGTGACCGCCTCGTCGAGATACGTCGATAGCCGCAGAGTTTTTTTTTTGGGCAATGGACACAAGTGGGTATACCCACCCCTTTCTCGGACAAAAGTGGGAACTCGAAAATCCAGCGCGCGCGCACTCCATAGGTGGCACCCAAACGACTTAAAACCCCATTCTGACACCTGCGCGACACAGCCGGGGACCATACACAGCACGGGCACCGATTTTTTCCCACTTTCAGGCACACCTTTGGCCCTAATACCGCCGAGGCGCGCAGGGCCTCACCAGAGTGCCCACTTCTGTCCGACATCGCGGTGGGTATACCCACCGCCGTCAACTAATTTGTTCATGTACCCACTTTTGTCTATGTTTTGACCCACTTTTGTCCAAACTGTACCCACATTTGTCCACTTACGGACGGCGGAAATCGAGCGGAAATCGACCTCCACGTCACCGCACGGCAGAACATCGAATAGCCTCGGAACGTCTCAGAACCTCCCAACACCGTATCCATGGCATCTTTCGTATCCATGGCTGCCGACTGCGGACCAACCGCGGAGGAACATGTCAGACACATGCCAGGCCCCTTCGGTACCGGCACGGGAGGATACCAGGCACGGGAAGATGCCCGCGGCAAGCCCGGCAAGTAGCGCACTAACGGCAAACGCCACAAATATATGCGTGACACACAACGGACAACATTCCAACGGGCGCGCATACAGAACAAACAGACGCGCATACCGCAACAGCACACATAGTCTACACACAGAAACACCAACCACCACCACGACGAGTGCACACCGACTCGTGAGGGCAGCAGCAGCATGTCGATGCAATTTGCCACGTAACAACATCATATTAATAGGGTATTCACATGCACAACATTCATTATGTGTATACGACGTGAAATCCGGCTTGGTATCCCCTAAAAACCTAACCGTCGCAAAAGTTGCCCCTTCAACCATGGCGCCGCCAGCAGTTGACAGAGGTGCGCCCGCGCTTGACCCTGAGCGGGCGCCCTGCAGGGTAAACTGCATCAACATGCTGCTGCTGCCCTCACGAGTCGGTGTGCACTCGTCGTGGTGGTGGTTGGTGTTTCTGTGTGTAGACTATGTGTGCTGTTGCGGTATGCGCGTCTGTTTGTTCTGTATGCGCGCCC